TTATGCAGAAACACTTTTGTGTAGTATATTATGACAAATATGAAAAATCTGCACTGTTACTACAAAAATATATTAAAGATAAATATTTGAAAATCATCCTATAAAAAGATAACTATATAAAATTTGGCATTTGATATTGTCGTACGTATTTGATATATGCGTTTTTTTATTTCACATAAATGTTATATTAAAATCTATGAAATACATAGATACATTTTAACTAGCTAAGAAAAACTTCAATGAAGCTAATCTAGTATAATTACTCGATGTTTAAACGTGATAATATGAGGCAAATTACGGAATCCATCTCGTAGTCTCTCGGCTTTGTTTTGTGCCTGTGATCTCAACGGAAAGATAAAAGTTGATGCCATTTTTTCTTTTATTTGTTCTGATATTATTTTTTCCTATTGACCTATTAATTAACTAGTGGCCTGAGGCGGCAATAATTCTGGACAAAACAACACAGATTGGTTTTTAAAAATGTAGCACGTACACTACTCAAGAACAACAACATATTCTGGTCTAAAGCTAAACAAAATTATTTTAATAAAAACAGACATCACGAATACTACATTAGCTTAGTATAGTTTATACGGATTCGTAGTACAACAGTACTTTAAATACCAAAAATATAAATAAGTTGTTGTATGAGGACGCAAGTCGTGAAAATTAATGGCGAGCTGCCTCTTCCTTGCAGTCGTATGACATCAGCTGTATCAAACGTAGTGACGCTCTCACGATGAGAATTGAGTCGATTTGCTGAAAATGAGAATAAGCAGAATAACACAATCAAATATTTTCATTTTCAGTCAAAATTAAAACTGTGTCATTGCTTTTGGATTTTTTCCAAGTTTCTAGTTATCTAAAAAACCATAGACAACTCATGTGACTGGACGCGGCATAGTTTTCTTTAAATTTCAAAGACAATTGAAAATTAGTAATATAATGTATTCTTCATATGAAAGCTGTTACAATTCTCCAGAGACCCCGCAGAAAACGAGTATTGGAGAGAGGAAAAAACAAAAAAAAACTTTATTAGTCGATCCCAATGTTTAGCTCTCTTTCATATTTAGGTTCTGCAACAGTTCATTGTTTTCCCTTCCGGAATTCACATTTCTGCCACATATTTCTTCCTATTCCCGGCGTTCTACACCTCCCTCTCGTATTTCCTTCTCTTCCTCTACAGGCCCTACACGATGCCCAGTTTGCAGCTTCCGGTTCTGCTTGCCGGTTCCCGCGCGCTCTTTCCAGGATGACGCCGGCCTCCGAATACTTCATCTCGGCGCGCATTAGCCAAAGTGCTCCCAGCTGGCGCCGCGAGGTGGCACTCGCGCTCCGCGGCCTCGGGGCCTGCATCATCGCAAGACCCTCCCGCATAATAATCCTTTGTGATCCCCCTTTTGGCACAGAAAGAACTAGAAAGGGAATAGCTAGTTGTAATTTAAATTAATTCTTCTTGTTCGCTTCACGGCTTTGGCTACTGCCAGTTTCGTTCTCACTGTGTCTTTCTTTTCCTTGGTCTTCCTACATCTCTTCTTCCTTCTGATGCACACAAAGATGTCTTTGGCCATCTGTTATCATACATACTCTCTACATGTTCTCCATATTTGACTATAGTCTTGCATTGTAGTATTAACGTCAATAACTTGTAGCTATTTTCTTATTTTATTTCATATTCGGTTTTCTTTTGTGGATCTTTTTATTCTTCTTAGATTAGTCATCTGACTGCTTTGTATTGTTTAAAGTTATTTGGTTAGGTACCTATGTTTTACATCCATAGAGTAATATAGGTACTGCCACTGAATTGTAAAATTTCATTATTGTTTATGGTCTTCATTTATTTTTTCATGTATTGTGTGTAGTGCCATATATTGTGTGATATTTCATAAATTTTCTGTCTATATCTTTGGTACTCATTGCAACATTAATTTTGAACGAAGAAAATGTACAAAAACAAACAAAAATGTTGGATAATACTTGTTCATGTGAGTTTATTAAACCCTTGACAGAGTGTGATAAATTACAGTTTATTCGTTTCCTGACGCGAGGTTTTAGCCTTTAGAATTTTCCTTTTAGTCACTCCATACGGTCTATTTTTGGCGGATTTAAACTAAATGAAAAATGATGGGAGTGGATGAGGCAATTACAAGTATTCGAAAGGTTTGAATATTGTAGATCTAGGTTTTGAATTAAGCTTACAGGATTTGCACTTGCTTGTACCTTACGTTTACAACAAATGGCCCACTAAACAAACTTTTTTTAAAAACTACAGTTTTTTGTTATGAGACAAATCATATCTGGCTTTTAATGATATTACAAGTAGGTTCTCTATGGGACAGAATAACAAGGAATGCATTTGTTTACGAATTCTCCGCGAAAAAGTTTCTCCTCCCAGTGCTTCAACGAGCCTTCTCCCAGTGACAACACTCAAATCTCGACCCTTGTGACTGCGACAGCGGCGACTCCCAGCCAACACCGTCGTTGCCATTCATAGATTCACGGTTGACAAGGTGGCGGCGACAGTTCCTAAGGCCAAGGAAGGGCGAGGGTGGAAGTGGGGAGAGGGGGTGCCGGCACGGGGCAGATGGCCCGCTCGCCGGGCAGCCCAAACTTCGTTGGCAGCCGCTTCTGTCCCCTCCTCGCTTCTTTCCCTCTTCCTCTGCCCTTGCTTCGCTGGGGGTTGATGAAAGCAGGCACTGAGCAAAACAGCCTGGTGACGCTCTAGCAAACACCGGCGACTTCTCTTTCCAATTTACAATCTGAATTAATCAAGACATTAGCAATATGGATATTAAGATATTGTTTACAAACAATAGTATAAAGTGTCGTAAGTTATAAGTTATTTTAAGATCACACATCATTTCATTGATAGATTTATAATACTTTACGCAATTTTCTAAAAAAAAAATTAAACACATAATGTAAACTTGTGACATGAAGCATCAAAAGCTGTACGTCTATTAGGGGCCACATTAACAGAAATGTATGTACAAAGACCTCAATAGGAGTTTTTAGGGACGAGACTATAAGGTTAATTTAGGAGTAGCGATATCAAAGACGAGTAGTTATCCAGCCGAGTCTTTAAATACTCTTAGAGGACGTTAGTTGGACGATGGTTGTTCAGTGACTTCCCAAGCATCATAATGCTTCAAAAATTTTAACTCTTTTTCTGTTTCTCTTCATCTTTTATTCTTAACTGCTGATGTCACTTGCTTCCAGATAATATGTGATGTCATCGTATGTTACGTACATGCTGAATCTAATAACCAGCTAAATTCTTCCCAAAAGCCATCATTCTTCTTCGCACCTATGGATGGCATGATCATTTTTTAGATATATTTTTGTTTGTTTTCGTTCCATGACGCATCCTAGACACAGAGGCATGCAAGATTGTCCTATTTCGCCCAGAGTAAGGTCCAGCATAACGTCCGAATCGTTGGCATTTGTGTCTAGGACTCGGCGTCTTCCGGAGAGCTAAGAAGATATAAGTTAGTGGTCGTACTTCAGCATGAAAGTTGCGTAAAAGATGCATAAAGATACATGGAAATATTGATGTCTCCACATATGATACGTATTTTATAATCATTTAAAGTTTACTTATATTAATCCTATTTCAAAGTAGTATTTGTGTATCTAATACTATTAGGTTGTTGAATTAAAAACAATCTCTGAATTAAAAATTAAAAATTGGCTTTAAAAATTGTACATTTAATATTACCGTATCTAATTACGGTAAAAATGAATATTCTTTAAAGAACTTCCGCAAGATGCAGTATCGCAGTAAAGTCATAATCTGGGCTATTGAAGAGCAGTGCCAAAAGATAAACATAAAAGTCGGCCACCATTTTTTAACGTCTGCTGCGCTTTTTATCAGCAGCTGCTTGGTATTCGATGTTTAGATGACTTGTTGCAAAAAAATACTAAAAAGGTTCTGTTTTCTCCGTTGGCGTAACAGTTGAGATAAGGCCTTGGCCGAACATCAGCGTGCACGCGGTAAACTCTTCGCGCTTTTCAGATTATTTTTTTCATATGAAAGTTTCATCAAATTGAAACATTGTGCAATGCTGTATTGAATGTATTGAATTACATCGTGCAATTAGTATCAAAGTAAATTGTACTCAACAAAGCGATTTTGTATTATATATGAGATATGAAAAATTACTTTTCATCAACTTTCATCAAATATTGGTTTTATTATATACCCTCTAGAGAATATCTTGAAAAACTGTAAATGATTCATTAATATCAATGCACACGATATGTACTATTGAGATTCCATTTACATGCTTTTTGCAATAACATACAAACAACCCATTAAAATATCTTTCATCTTCTAATTTTTTTCGAAATTTTTAAGAAACCGGAAATATATTGTTGGCTAGTGAAGAATTTGTACACTAATGCTACCATATTGGAGGGATATATCGCGAAGTTGCAGTATCCAGCCTCAAACGAGGCAAATGAAATGGTATTCCTGAATTGAATGAATTCTAAATTGTGCAAGGTTGTTAAGGTTATTTCAACTTGACTCACTGGCTCGGAAACTGCGGGTAGTTTGCGGTGCGAAATTTCTGTTGTGTCGCGGTTGACTTCACTCCCGCCTCTACCACCACAGTTGAATTGCTCTGCTGGCTTAATTGCTCGTTTATTGGGCACGAAAATGTATTGGATGAAGCTAAAGTATTTAATGAAGTAAACGATTCAGTTTTATTCGCTTCCCAAATTACTTCCCAGAGATTAAAGTGACGTTTAAATCTGTCAAAATGTGAAGTAATACGTAAATTTACATTTTAATTTCGTGGGTCCTTTTATTTTCATCACTTATCTTATAACAAGAATGTTTGCTTTTTGCAGTTTTGTATGCCTTGTCAAACTATCTAATTTACCATTTAATTATACATTTAGTTGTAAGCGCCATTTATTTGTTCGATTCCCGGCCGGAGCAAATATTATAAATGCGCTTTTCTAACAAATGTCTCAGTATCTATTGTTGTGTGACGATGAGAAGTTATGAAGTATATACGGTGGAGGGATGTCTTTGGGAGTAATTCGGTAAACGTTATGGTTTTTAGAGAATTGTAAGCAACATTTAAAAAGTCATTTGGTTTTCGAATTCATGTTACTGCATTAATTTATATTCTTGGTCATTATACATTTGAATGATAATTCTCAGAAGTAATTTACTCTTTAGGTCTGCGTGACTTCTTTAATAATGAAAGGGCATGGGGCAGAGACAGGAAAAATGACGACTACTCTTCCACTAATCAAAAAAGTTAAAATCTCGAATTTTATGAAATGTTGACTTGTTGTGTTACTATGTAAGACTTTTTCATGTTTACCAAGAGCTTGAAGTAACAAATTAACCCACATTTGATAAAAATTGAGATATTAATATTTAGATAAGCGGATTGTTTGTAGTGGCTGGGGTATCTTATCTTGTTACTGGTACAAGTCTTTCAATTTTATTAAAATGACTGCAAATATCTTGTAATGAGAGTACTTATACTAGTACCTCTTGAGGATTTCTTGACATTTTACATCCATTGATTTCGCTCATTTCAACACATCATCGTTTTAACCTGATCGGCAATGAAAAAGTATCATTTCATGAAAGTTGAATTACACATAATCTCTTGTCCCTGCTACTGTAATAAACTTTCTCTGAAGAATATAATGGCGCGAGTCCTTTCCTATGAGAATAACAAAAGGACAAACTCTCTATTCAGTTAACGTATTCCACACAACTGCTGAAATAATCGTTCCGAAGTGAAGGCTGCTTCCCCACGGCCGAGGGAGGAGCAGCGCAGGGGGCGTTGGCGGAAGTCACAAAATGCGGTAACACTCCACTCTCCGACGCACAAGTGCGAATTGGGGCGAAACGTGTTGGGCGCGCCATTAAAAGTTAACGAAGGCGCCGTGAAGAATGGGCACGGCCAGCCGGGGCCCTAAGGGCCGGACACCGCCGCCTCCAGCCGACATGAATTCACGCAGCGCCTGCGGCTCTTGCGGCTACTGTGGCGGCGGCGGCGGCGGAGGCGCCGAGATGGATGGGGCACAGAGAGAGGACGGCCAAGGCTTGTGAACTTTGGTGGGGTTATCAGAAGGCGCTGCATGGTTAGGCATTTGTAGAAACTTTCAGGACATAAAACACTTTCAACGATCGTTAGCACTAAACAGAAATTTTAACGAATATTTTGTTTATATACTTTGTTACGAAATTGTGATTTTGTGTAGTCAAATTTTACGAAATTGAGATCAATGTCGAAATAAGAGTTATTAGAACACAATTGTTCAGTTAATGAATGGACTCATCTTAACTGCTATCAATATCAGTGTCATCTTGCCCATTACAAATAGATTTAAATAAAACTAAGAGTACATTCAACTTTTTAAAAATTAAATAAAAACTACGATATTTTTAATGTATCACCTTATTACAATATTAAATTGGTTATAAATTCCACAATCACATTTTGAATAAGATAACTTAAAATGCGTATTTCGTAAATATCTATTGCTAATTAAAATGTAGAATAATAGTTAAAATTGATAAATTGTTTACTTTATTATTGAAAATTATCAGGTATGTGACAGCAAACTTATTCCGCGATAAGGAACTTTGCTCAAGTTAAATGTAATATTTTCAATATCTCTACAGTGGAACGAGAATGCTTGTCCTTGTCCTCAATAACAACGCCAACGAAACGGCTTCTCTAGTTCTATGAAGTGTGCACTTCCATGTCCAAGAATAGAGAAATGTATTATCACAAAAGAGGGAATTGAGGATCTGAGGGAAGATGTTTTTTATTAAATGAATATACATCGCAACATTTCTACAACATATTTTGGGGCATAATAATCAAATAATTAAACAAAAGTTTCCCTTTTTAAGAACTACACAAAATAATGTAGATTTTCCAGAATTTACTGAATGATTAACAATCCCCTTTGCGGTTAATTCGGACAGAAAAATTCATTCTGGGCAATTAATAGCTCACAAAAAATAATTTTTGTGTGATAAACAAACATAAAAATAGGATAGCCGAATCGACGTAGCTATTGCAAACAACTTTACTCCAAAGAATACTTAAAAAGATTTCTAAATGTTATCGGCTGTAAACCCAATATGTAAATAATGTCACTATCGTTTATTTAGAATATCACGGTAATATTACTAAAAATGTAAACGGGGGGGATGAATTAAGTAGTAAGTACTGTACGTATGAACAAACTTACGATATGTGTCCCCATTTCTCTATCTTTTGACCTCACTGCCAAGGTACAAAGAATGTGATTTCATATTTGTTCATTTGTTCTATGACGAAACGCTCATGGCCTGACGAATACTGGGAACACATTGTGAAGTGTTTGAACACGCTTCAATTTTTGTCCTCGTAAGACGACAACATAGGTATGGGGCAACGCTTCCATGGAAAATTACGAGTATCCTTGTTTCCACGGCCACTACTGTTTTTCAGAGAACGAGATTTATAATGCAAAATCACAGTGAAACACAGTGAATTTGTGTAACAGAAATGATATACGTTAAATCGGAAATCCCCAAAACTTTCATTTAAGAAGTACATCCAAATATTCAACAAAGCCATCCAACTTACAAGGCATTGTAATGGAAGTGGATATAAACAAATGTTTTGTTATTTTTAATTGTTCTTTTCGCCATTCCCTGTCCTTTAACATTACCTTCTATTGATTTATCAGTAAACGATTTCGAATTGTAGTCGGAAATACTGTGTGATGAATATCGACATTATTGATGAAGTGTAACTTTACTTTTGAATAAATACTAGACATTCCTTAAATCCAATTACAGCTTCGTACAACTTACCATTATACACTAAAATTCTTAGAAACTCAGTATTTTTACAAATAAAAATAATGAACATAATTGTTCTCAAGAAGTCAATATAGATATTCGGAATGAAAACAAAATGTAATACGCACAGTCTTACAAGCACTACAATCCTTTTGGTAGATTCAAAAGATGTTAGTATTGCATCCTCAGGAGATTAAACTGAAACAGTTTTCTTAAAAGTAACACAAAGCAATATTATTTTCGAAAAGTGTCCGGTGTTGTTACAATTCTCTTCCAAACACCTAACTGACAATTCCTGTGTTCTGGCTGAGTGAAAAATCACCTCAACTTGAAAATTGATATATTGTTATTGGAAGTTATTCTGGCGTGTCAAGGTTGCGGCTAGCCAAGATCTCTACGTTATTCTGACACCACAGAGAAGCAGTAAACGCGTGGTTAGCAATAAGTCTTCGATCAATACCTCGAGTTATGAAGCGTCGTGAGTGACACACCCATGCTGAAAAAAAGGCTCTAATCGAAAAACAAAACTTCCAGAGGCACTGTTTTGATCACACAACTGGGGGAATCACTGACACTGAATACGTTGCGCATGGACTTCTCTCGTATTATGAGTGCTGAACGCTGTTTGTCAAACATCAAGGACAACATGAGCCGACGGCTTAGATGGAAGCAAAGAGGCGGCGGCGGCGGTGACTGAGGCAAAGTACACGGAGAGGGGGCAACGTCGGAAGCGAAGGAGGAACGGAGAATCGAACGTCAACAAGGACGAGGGGGACTAGAAGAAAAATGAGGAGGAGAGGATGAGAATATGGAGAAAGATGAAGAGGCAGATGAATGGGAGGGGGTGGGGTCAAGCAGGAAAAGGAAGAGTAGTAAGAGGTGAAGATGGAAGAGAAGGAAGAGGAGAGGAGGAAGGGTAGGAGGAGACAAAGGAAGAGGTGCACGAGGAAGATGGGGGAAAATACGGAGAAGGAAGAATAAGAAGGAAGAGAGGAAGGGAGGTGGGAGATGAGATGGGAGAGAGAGGAAGAGGAGGTAGATAATGATAAGGAGGAAGCGGAGAACGAAGGAGGAGGTGGAAGAGGGAGAGGCAAAGGCAGAGGAGAAGGAGGAGCTGGAAGGAGGCGGAGGACACGGCGAGGTCGTGAGGGTGGCGGCGGTGGCTGCGTTCATGGTTCCTCGAACGGACTGACGCAGGCACTTGGAGCGTACACACAGCGGGCGCATTTAAGCGCTGCCTCCGTCGCCGGAGCGGCAGCAACAGCTCAGCATCTGCACCATGCGCAACGGCGGCGTGCTTCTCTTCCTGACGGTGGCGGCGCTGGCCGCGCTCTGCGTCGCCGCGCCTTCCGGCGACGGCGGGGCCGAATCCTATCCTCAGGGTAAGTCACTTCCAACACTGCCTACGACTTTCTCTCTCACGGGTGTTCTTTTTAAATAATAGGGATGTGCGATAAATGCTTTATCAATATATCGAAAACGTTTTCCATCGAAGTTTCGTTCTTGATTTAAATGAATAGATTCGTTTGGTGACCATTTGTTGGTGACTTCGAAAGTACAATCATGAAACTTTATTACTATTAATTTATCCGTATTAGACTTATGTAAATATTGTGGGAATTACTCCCTTCTTTCAAAACTCTCACACTCTCTTGCGGCTATTTACAATTTGTCACTGCAGAATAGGGAAGAATACTCGAGGAAAAAATTATTTAAATTAGATTTATTAATAATAGTTCTGAAGAAAATGGGAATATTGGCCTTGAAATTAATGTAATTAAATGTTCTCTTGTGTCTTTTCGATCTTGTTTTTAAACACTTAAAAAATAGTATCAGGAAAAGAAATCCGTTATTGCAATAACCGAACGTAATGATAAACTCTGTTGTGCATCTAACTATATTTATTTAACGTAAAAACTATAACGTTTATTTAACGTTAAACAGTTAAAATATGACACATTATGGTAAGGGAACGAAGTGCAGTTAAGTGTCGTTTTTCCAAATGTACATAAATTCGAAACATTATTATTTTTTAATACCGTTTTTAGTCCCTAAACAACCAAGACGATTAATTTGATTGCAATAACTTCTTTGGAAAGATATAAAAAAAAATTTGAAATGTTCGTTTGAAAAGTTATAAAATTATTTTTGTTTGTGAAGTAATAAAATCACATTTACTAATTCAATCAATCTTTACAAATATTTTAAGGTTTTACATACTTGTTCATTTTGACGTTTTTTTAAAATAATCTCCCTTGCCAAAAATGAAAAACAATCACGGAGTGGATATTATAATTTGAATATCATCTCTATTAAATAAAAACGTTATCGCTTGTAAAGGAAAATCATATCCCGTCTCATTTTCACTATAGTCACGATTGGTACTTGGCCGTGAAATTGCTTACACAACGTTCGTGAACATTGAGAAGTGCTTGCTCACGTGAAGGTCAAAGAAACGACAGGCAGAATTTACAAAGAGCGAGATAGAAAGAGAACAAATTGACTTCTGTATTTCTTTTTGGCCTCCAGACATCTTAATACATCCTTTCAAGGAATGCTTTGAGAGATTCTGAGCATATGAACATGCTTCTTCCATAGCTTGTTGTATGTTGTACGAAGGAACACTTAATCATCGCAAACAAATAGCAATAGAGCGTAATCATCACTACCAAAACTCTCGCTGTGAAAACATTTTTTTAATATTAAGTATTTAAAAATGAACGTTTAAAAAGGATACTTTTTTATAACTCATTTACGTGCTATTTTACATTACATCTCAGCCAAAATACTCATCCTTCCATCTCATTTAAGCACAAATCTTTCTCGTAATACTATCAGCATACAAATTTAAAAAGATAAGATACGGGAAGCTGTTCATGAAAAATTAAAAACTAAGCCGCTTAATTTTAATTACAAATTTTAATGAAAAATCCCTTTTAGAATTCCGAATCATCCAGTTATTTAACAATATCAAATAACTGCAAGATTGTACACTTCACTGCAATTGTTGTGTAATATTTTATCCTAAGACATTGTGAAAAATGCTCTCTTACGCAGGTAAACATTTTTTTCATTTTTGTCAAAATAATTTTATAATATTGGCGATATTTTTTAAAGATTTAATAAGATTAGTAGTTCTTTCAGCGAAATATGAATATCCAGAGAACATGAATATAGGAAAATGGTACTTTGACTCTTTGAGAAAGCTGAATATTGCTCCTTTAAACAGTCACTGGATCGATTCCATAACAATATACTAATTTGATGTAGAGAAACTGAATTAAAAGAAACCGTGTAGATGTGACATTCAAATACATTGGACATTCAGATTTTGCAGTATTATCAATCAATACTTGATAGTTGAAATAACACTCAAAATAATTAAGTGAAACACATTTTTATTACACACTAGTAAATAACTCAATAGAATTTACCCAGGCAAAATATGAAAAATTTACATAGTTCCAGTTGTCTTGTTCGAATGAATGAGTAAAGACAACGGTTCATTCTATTCATAAATACCGTTTTCGCGGAATCTTAACGGAAGTATCTCGCCTCGGGTGCTGAATTCAGCCTATCTGTAAACGTTCTGTAAATTTCTCCCACCATGTACACGTCTGCAAACTGCAAAAATAAGTTGCCCAAGAATTTCAGCTAGGAATAGGATCTTTTACTGACATGTATGTCTACTTTCCAGTTTTAAAATTTCAATTTTTGGCACTTCTGCTAAACGTCTCACGATGGTCAAGTGTTCAGATAAATATGTGAATGCTGCAAAGAAAACAAAATGCTATCATCTGACTACATCAGCTACTACTGACCTTAATATATCATTAGTTGACTTGTATTCTTAAATCAAAATAAAATTTAAGACGGTAGTAAGTCTGTACAAGAACATAGTGTATGATACATGAGTTGAAACTGATTTATTTTGCTCTTGGGGTTGCCCCACTCGACTTATCGGCCTCGTGTCGGAACATTTCCTAATCGCTTAATAGAATGTCACTTTTACTACACCTATCATAAATGAATATTTTCATTAATAACATTCTTTTTTTGCTTTGTTATTTTTACTTTTTTATTTTTGCTTTTTTATTTTTGCTTTTTTTTGCTTTTTTATTTTTGCTTTTTTATTCTTTTCATTTTTATTTTTTATTTTTTTTGTTCTTTAACGATGACGCGTGTTTGTATGATATGTGCGTATGTGTTGGCAGGCCCCTGTGAGGCGGGCTCCGAGGTGTCATACCAATGCAACACGTGCACGTGCACCCAGGACGGCACGGGCTACGCGTGCACGCGCCAGCTCTGCCCCCCTCCAGAGCGCGAGCGGAGACGTAAGCTCGATTCTTTTATTTCTGCCTGCTTTGGCTTTCTTCCCATCTGGTGTTTTCGCATAATGACTTGTTTCTCTTTTTACCGAGTTTCCTGACTGGTCTTTCACGATTTCTGGACCTTCTTGCACATTTAATCAACTATTTAAGCATTGTTTTCTTACGATACGTTGCCTAACATATTCTGTGATCGCACTTAACACACAATCAGCGGCAAAACATTTTTTTACTTTAATTGAGACTTTAGCTTCGTATTAACGTCAGTTTGTTCTGAAGCAACAAAGCTGACTTTGTTTGTTCTCTTACATTTTTCGATTTTATTTTATTAATTTACGAAACACGCCGGTCTGAAATTAATCAACAGACTCCGCAACTATTCACAAAGTGTTACAAAGTGTTACAAATTCGCAGAACTTTGTTTTCGGCCCAGAAGCTGCAAGGTATGTACGATCCAGTTTGCTTACGCATTTTGTATACAATAACCAACATGTTAATATTTCACATTGCATATTTGTATTGTTTTTAGCTCTGAGGATGATCACTACGCGATCGAAATGATCATTAGTGGAATTAAAATATTGATACCTGACAATATCTCTATTTATTTATCAAAATAAAAAAAAGGTATCTACTTCACCAACAATCCAATTAAAGTGTTACAGTTCTTACTATAATAGACTAAGTGAGAGAAATGTGTTTTTTTAGCAGTTCAAGGCAAAGTGGAAAACAATATAGTTTGAAACAATATGTTAATAGTAATTACTCTAAACGTTAATCTGACAAGCAAAAGCAAAAGAATTGACAAGACGGACATGTGGCTTGTACGGTTGCAGGTTTAGCGTACACAATGATATCGCGAATGTGTTTTTCAAAAGAACCATACATTTTTATTCAGTTTGGTTCAAAACAAAAAAAATTGTTTACCACCTGCGAGTAGATCTATTCAAAATATGAAATTAGTATATCTTCTCTGCAGACATCTTCTCATCTTACGCTTTGTGCCATTCTTGGCGTGCCTTCCATCTCACGCTACATCTTCACTACATCGCTTAAACATTTATTTTTGGCAGGTTAAGCTGCTTAAATGTTTTCTTCTCTGTCTAGAAATTAAGTTTACAAGGTAATACACTCAGAAACTAACAACAATTTAAATGAAATGCTTTAAGACCATAAATAAGCTTCGTTTATTGTGGACTCATATTGTCTATTTCTTAATAAATACGCTCTAAATTAATGGGCTTCCCTAAGGGTTAATACCGACGCCTGTGCGATAAAAAATTCCCGCTAATTTCCTATTTCTCAATAAACATGACGCTTCAAATGAATGGACCTGTGATTTGCGATACCTGCACGTTAAGCTCGCGGCTGATGTGTTGTGGTTTGTTCAGAGGCACGGTGCGTGCCCGGACGGCCGTATCCTTCGCCTGACGGATGCAACACGTGCACGTGCACATCGACGGGCGTGTTAGCATGCACGCGCCGCCTTTGCCTCACCGACGGCCCGGGCAGAGGGCCCCCACTACGCGGCTAGAGCCACACACCCGTCAGCCCGGCTTCAGCCACACACCCTTCAGCCCGGATTGCCTCTTACAGCTCGAAGAACCACCACCGGATCCACTTCCAATACAATTGGCACTGCTGATAGTTTATATTTTTTTAATTATAGCTTCAAAATTCATTGAAAACTATTTGTAGTTTCTAACAATTTGTACGAATATGTATTGAGTCTACTTGATAAATTGTCTAATACAAATAATATTAAGCAATGCACAATTCACAACTTTAATTTATTTCTAGCTGTTTTATAAACAGCGTTTCAGGACCTGGATCCTAATTTCTTTATTAATATTCCATATAAAAATATGAAGCACATGAGAAATTTACTTATTTCAAGAGTTCATTAAAATTCATTAAATAAAACGTCATTTAGTTCTCCAAATTCTTGGCTATAAATTACCCTTTCCCTAATACTAATGTGCAAGATTACAAAACGTTCATCACATATAATAGGAAAATAATTTTAGACCGCTAGGTTTTACAGTAGTTTCGTTTCTCAGTTTAAAGCCGAGTTAACTATAAGGTACGAATTGAACGTGTTAAAAGTAGTAACCACTAATTGTACAGACAAATAATCCACAAAATAACCACACTTTAATCTTCGTATTGTTGCACATTAAACACTTTAAACATCCAGACAGCAAGAGGGAGCATACATACATAGATGCTTAAAAATCTTAATTCATAACTATGCTGTTTTGAAACGAAGTATTCTGATATCAGCAACCAAAAATGAGAAATATTTATCCTACGTGTTTTCTGAAAGACTGCAACGTTCCTCGTGTCTGTATGTTCCCATTGAGAAATTCAAATCTTCAAATGTTTTGATCTCTCAATATAAAATCCGTTTAGGAAATTAAAAGAAATATATTACTTTTAATAGAACTTATCGTGGATTTTCCCATTAGAGAGAGAGAGAGAGAGAGAGAGAGAGAGAGAGAGAGAGAGAGAGAGAGAGAGAGAGAGAGAGAAAAGAGATAGCTAGCTTTTTTCATTTCCTAATAAAACTGTCGCGATGAGACTTCGTAAGATAAATCTCATTGAATATGCAAAATGCATGCTCTCATATGCTGCGCTTTGTCCAGAGGCGACCTGCACACCAGGGCAATCGTTCCCTGCTCCTGACGGCTGCAACACGTGCATTTGCTCCCAGGACGGCACGGACCACGCGTGCACGCTCAAGCTCTGCCTCTCTCCAACCCGCGAGCGAAGACGTAAAGTTTATTATTTTATTTTTGTCTGCTTTGGCTTTCTTCCTATCGGATGCTTTCGCATAATGACTTTTATCTCTTTATATCAAGTCCCTTCATTTGTCTTTCTTGATTTCTGAACCTTCTGCACTTTTACTCAACAGGTTAAGCGACTAATTTCTTGCAATGCGTCGACCAACAAACTTTGTAATCTCACTTATCACTGGCAATCATTTGCAAAAGAAATTAATTTACGACTTAAGCTTAATTTTAACGTCAGTTTCCTGTAAAACGGTACGCTCATTTTAAGAGTTCTTATTTTATTTTAATTATTTACGAATCATCCCGGGTTGAAATTAATGTAAAACCTCAGCTCACATTCACAGTGTTTTATAGTTAAACATTTGATAGGTCAAGTGAAATGTGTTCTATTAGCAGTTGATGGCAAAGTTGAAAATCAGATATTGTTAGTTAAAAGTAATTACTTTAAACTCTAACCTGAAAGCAAAAGCAAACCAATTGGCAAGATGGACAACTGTGGCATGTACTGTCGCGAGTTTGGAAAATGAATTCAGGTAAAACAAGTATGCTTCTCGAGAGAAAGATGCATTTTTATTCATTAATGTTTGGTATAAAACAATATATACTATTTTTGTTCACCACATAGTAGGATATCTGAACAAAATGTGAAACTGTTACATTTTGTCTGAAGACATCTTCCCATCTTACGCCACACGCAGACGTTTCCCACCTTACGCCACCGCTTCGCAACTTAGATAAGCTGCTTAATCGTTTTGTTGGCTCAATCAATAAAATTAATTTACAAGAAAACTAAAAACCAAACTACAATTGAATTGAAAAGCATTAACCCCACAAAAAGAACTATTTTTGCTTATTGAGGACTCACATTTTCTAAATCTTTATGACGCTCCACATTAATAGGCCCTCCTAAGGGTCAATCCTCGAACCTGCGCGCCTTAAAAAGGTTTTCGTTTATTTTGGACTAAAATTGGTTTATTTTTCTTCTTTTCACGGTTTAAATCAGGTCTGTTCCGGCACCCCTCCATTGTTGCCTTGATCAATCAGGATCTCTTTTTCTAGGGGGTCGGTATTGTAGGTCACTTTTGTGAGCTTATCATCTTCCATCTTTTGTAGGTATTGTGTCCACGCTGGAAGTTTCTGCTGTATTTTGTCTAATATAGAGAAAGTGTTCAGAACTTCGAATGCTTTCGTTGATCTGGTCTAGGAAGCTACAGCCTTTTACTGCTCTTATAAATCTAATTTTGGAAGTTTGTATATCACACTTCTCTTTCTCAATGCCCCAGACTCTCTTTCATACAGCAAAAGTGGTACTGTCATCACTTTATACTTTTTAGTAGGATCTTTCTTCTTGTCTTTTTTGAGAGCGTCCGTCTTATTGTGCCTCACATTTGTTACATCCGATGGAGTTTAATTTCAATATCTGGGATGAATTTGCCTTTTAAATCCATTACTTACTTACTTTGATAGAGATTTTGAGGTTATAATATTTCAAGATATTTCTCAATACATGAGCACTTTCTGTAGTTCATTTTCATTTCTGTAAACAATCTACAAATAAGAATATTTCAATAATTTCCATCTTCCAAATATATTCCATCCGAATATTTTTTCTTGCATACTCTAAGAGCATCGAATAAATATATATTAAAACGTTTTGGGGTGCACCGCCGTAGATGACCACCATTGATGTACTAAATATGTTTTACTCTCTACGTGGTTCATACTTATACTACCTCCCTTCCAATACATAGTGACTTTATACTTGCTATCATTTGCTTAGGTATCCTCTGGTCTACTATTTTCCGTATCTTTCTTCTTACGACTCTATCAAAAGACTTTTAAATATCTATTAAGAGAAGATGAGTTTCCAAATTATATTCTCTCCTCTTTTCACTTACCTGTCTTAAAAAAAATATTTATGACGACACGAGCGGCCTTGTCGTCATCCATGTTTACCAGGTGAATTCACTAATCGTTTTTCATCTATTTTTTAGAATTCTGGCATTGTATACCATGTAACCGTTATTGAGAACACTGATTGTTCGATAGTTTCCACTTCACTTTTCTCTTTCTTAAAAATAGGGGTAACCGTTTACAGTCATCCAATGTTATAGCATTCATCCCAATGTTAAGAAAATGTAATAGCCTGTGTTTAAAGAAAATAATACTATATTTATCGAGCTCGGCATTTAACTTCTCCATTTCCTCTGCTTTTCTA